CTCTCACTCGGACAGGCGGGGTATCCAGTTTAATGGAAACTTTTGTTGCAGAGGGATATGTTCCGATACATATGCATTTTTTGCAACGTGTTTGGCACTCTTCCTCTTGTTGTTGTCAGCGTGCAATGGATATGATCAGGCTCCATGAACATTAATTACCTGCTGTGGTTTCCATTGGATTAGAGGAAGCTTGGATAATCATTTCATTGAATAAAGATAGAGGTACACGTTTGTTTGGGAAAGGCATACTCAGGGTTCTGCAGTGAAGCTGTTAGAGCTATTAATTATTTTCAAACCAGAAAGATATTTTACTCATTAAATCCATGTAATTATGTCCTCGCTCTCAAAACAGTTTGGTTGCATCACTCGTTTTTTTTACGAACATGTATTGTGGGTCTCTGTCACATCTTTAAATCAGATTAAGTCAGAAAAGTGAAAAAGAGAGGACCACTCACTCTAAGACAATCGAGTCTTAGTGACATCACAGGGTTCTTTTAGATAACATAATGAGATGAAGACAGCATGTTATGGTCTGATCTGTCCACAACTATTTACGTTTACAAGACTGTTGGGACAAAAATCATGCATCAGTTCAGAAGAAAAAAGTAAGGTAGCCCAGCTTTCACAGACCACACCTTTTCTTGGGTTTTATTAAACTGGCCAGTAGGCGGAGAATGAGCAGAGGTGGGACAACTCAGTTTTGCTCCCATTGAAAACCATGTAAAGTTTTGGAGTCAAAAGGCTCTCCTCCTGTGCGGTGTACGGTTGTTGGCCTGCAGGGAGCGCTTATCTGGGAAAGCCTTGATCCACCTCGCCCGCCTCATTTGAGTGATTTTTTCAAAGTGTACTCCTTTATATGAGACCACAGTTGGGACACGGAAGAAACTCTTGTCTTTCTCTCTATTTGCGCGGTTGCTACAAGCGTACACCGCACAAAAAGTGCTTCTTCTTCTACTATATCTCCGTGTATAAACCCAGCAGACTGCACCGCCAGAGTACGTCACGTCCTGTCCTACGTTTGCTATTCGCGCTACTGCCCTAACTTCATATGAAACCCAAGAATATAAGTCAAAGTAAATTGGATTCATCCTAAAATTAAGCTTACTTTTAGATCAGGCAAAACTGTTTTCAAAGAATGAAAAAAGTCAAAATATGTATTTTTGTGATCAAATGCATAAAGTTTTGAAAAAGTATTGAAATTGTGTCCCACAGATCCTGCCCTCATGCTAAAAAGTTTCATCTGACAAACACAACAACAGTATTCCAGTATTCCAATATGGCCTCCAGCAGAAATTAATTGCCCGTCTCTGGTCTAAGTTCAAGTTGGAGTGAAGCGGTGGTGAATCTTTACTTGAAATGACTTGGTGATAATTAAACCGGTTGCACGACTGACTATTTTGCAAACAGTTTCACTTCTTTAGCATGAAAATGGCATTCTCATTATACCCTGAACAGCAAGAAACCCACGTCATAGATGTTTGAGCTGAGGGGATGTGGAAAGAGAGTTTTAGGTTAGTGTAACAGGTCACCAGGTCAGACCCAGCCCAAAACTGAACAAAGACAGCTTTAAAAAAAGAAAAAAAGCGCATATGTCTTTTAACTTTCCAAAATTTCTGATCAGCCGCTGTTCCTCTTTTTGATAAGTACACAGAGAAATACACACGTCCATGCTGTTGGGAAATTTTGCACTTTTACATCATTACAAAATCACTTCAGCAAAAACACAGGTGAAATATCCCTTTGTCTCAAACTTGGGCTTTTTCTAGTGATGCAATTTGTCTGCGAGAAAAATTCTGTTGTACGTTTATGCCATTGCCATAATTAAGAGTAAACAAATCTTTTCAGCTTGGATAATTACTTTGTGGTGTTCATCAATAACTACATTTCTTCCCAAAAATGTATTAATTGACTAGTACTGTTGGGCTTGTATTTTGCACACAAAGTTTCTCCTGAAATGTATGTGTCCTGTTTCCACTACCACACAATCAAAAGCAGGACAAAAACACCATTTTTGGGGGGTCTGAATTAGGGGTAAGACAAGTTTTGAGTCATTCTATAGGAGGATAAAGAGGAAAAAGTGTGTTAAAACAAGATACTCATTTGATATAGAGAGGGTCTGTCTTAAATAGTGAAAAGTGAAAAAGCCATCCATTTAGGTAGAACAAATATACATGTAGTAATGTTAGTATCAAAATCCAATTTGATTGTAATTGATGTATTGAGATTATCCAGCAGTTTCTCTCTTCTGGATGTCCTCTCCACGTGTCTTTGCTATAGAGACTGCCCCCTGGTGGATGTATTATACAATAGTAAACAGGTGGTAAAAGGACTCGTAAAGGTACTCAAGTAAAAGTAGGAACTTACTGGTAAAATAGAAATCTACTTTGGTAAAATCAGATTGTAATCAATTCCTTTCTCAAATAAAGGTAAAGTACAAGTAAAATTGCAAAAAGGATAATGCATTCTTGTCAAGCGATGGACAGGCCATGTATTGTTTCATTTACTTTTAGCATTCATACTGGCACAGAATATCATATGAACTTAGAAGCATAGTTATTCACATTGAAATCCCTGAGAAGCATGGCTAACCACAGCAAACTTCCATTATGTGATATTTAACAAACATTCTCCCTAAACTTTTTATGGTGTGTTGTCCTCTGCAATGTAACTTAATCCATCTTTAAAATGCGAGCAGAAGAAAGTACAGATAACTGAGTTAAACACCACTCCCATGAGTAATTTCTCAGCATGTACGTGTTTGGTCTTCTTAACTTTGTGATAGTAGTTTCATAATTCTGGGAGTCCTAGAAAATGACGGTGTCAAGTAAAGTAAAGATTATAGCCACCTCTGATAATAATCATACAAAAGTCATTCTCAATTATTTGGTGATTTAAACATACTCACTGACAATGCCATATCTCTGACTGTTTTATACCATCATGACCAAGACCTGTTATTTCTCAGTGATTTTTAAAGAGACCACTCTGTCCTACGCTGACATTTCTGTTCACTCATCCTTTAGTCTGGATTCTAATATAGAATACACATAATGGAAAGGTCCCCAAGAGCTCTGGACAGCCCCCTCCTCCACTATTGTTTCCATAAACTGTCTGCCACTTTAGCAAAAGCCAAACCTCTATCACAAACTGTGTAGTAGCCTTCTGTTCTCTCTGCTTTGCTCTTGTCCCACTGAAGAGGACATGTCCGGAGTCTGTAAATGATTTTTAATTGGAGTCTGGGTCAATATTTGTTCTCTGATGTGCAAAGTAATCAGGAAATAGAATTTAGCCACATCCTGCTCGAGTCCAGCTCTTGTCCATGGATTATTCTCAAGCCTTTCCATCCATGTTTTACTTGGAAACATGGCAATAGGAAACATTAGAGTGGATTGAGTTGAATCTACACCTGGAGTAAACTGGCCATGTACAACAATGCAGTTAAAGCAAACGCAGGGAAAATGCACTGATTTGTGTTTCAGATAAAGAAAGCAGCGTTGGCACTGGAGCAGCAGATGTTGTTGTCATTGTTTGTAGAAGGGAAGGAACAATTTCAACAAAAAAGACATGATATGACTCCAGGGATGTAACTGATAGGCACACACGTTCAATGACGCATGTTAGATTGATGAGTAGACACTGCAGAAGTAGGTAGGCTTTTTGGGTGAGTGTGGTAGACTCAATGCTGGGGTTTCAGACCACAAAAGAACGGAACAATCAATCTAACTGGTTTCTCTCTCTAAAAACAGTTTGCTGCTATCACTAGTTTTCACATACTGCAGGCATTTGGTGGCCTCTTTTACAGAATCAGCTTTTTCATCAAGAAAAGTGGCTGATCCTCTTTTTTCAATCAGCTCTCTTGCCCACAGTGATCTTTTGTACATGTAAGCAAAACATGTTAACATATAACATGTTTTCTAATCAGACAAATACATGTTGTGGTCTAATTTGATTTCACAAAATGTAACTTTTTCTGTTTGGAGACAACATAATAAATAATACAGAGCTAGAAACCCCACCTTTTAAACTTAAGAAAATGGCCTTAAGTTGCAATGTATGTTCGTAGGCCTGTGACAGTCATAAATAGAATTATTCGTTGATAGATTGTTACAAAAAGCAACCACTTTTTTTTTCAAACAAAGTCACGTGGTTCTGAAGTTCACCTCCTTTTGGAAAGAAATTGTATAGGGCCTATTAGCAGCCTCCAAATATGTGTCAAGTTTCCTTTAAAGGGCTTATCATGCAAGAAAATCTAAACAGACTAAATCCTAAAAGTGAAAAGTGATCACATCTTGAAGGATCTGGATGGCGTTTGATCTGCGCAGCTCGAAGCAACAGCTGCCGCAACTCACTCCGCACCGCACTTAACCCGATGCGCCAAAGCTAGAAGAAGTCTCTGGCCAGAATCCAAGAGAGATCCGACGAAAAAACAAGAATATCTGTGGAAATGCTGGGGCCTGGTGCGTTTGGCGAGAACTTGAGTATTCTAGTACGTGTGCGTAAAGTTCGTATAGTCCAGGAGTTTGCGTAAAAAGAAAAGAAAAAAAGTTTAGAGTTGTTAAGTAGTGACAAAACTTGACGGGTTACATGACTCAAAAGCGTGGGATTCAGCAACACACTTTTGGGAGGGGCTTTGGAACAGCTTAATGCCAGATGTTCAAAACAACAACAGCGGCTAAATCTGAAAGCCATAAAGTTTTAACTGGTCTGGAGCAGGACATGGGCACACACGCTCGCAGCTGCCCGGGCTTTACTTACTTTACAATGCGCCAGCTTCAGCAGACATGGCATTGTGAGGGCACATTTAGCGCGCGTAAACGTCTGGAGTCCAACTATAAAATGACTATTCTCGTTTGAGTGCCTTTAAACACCACATTTTGCGCGCGTCTCCCTTGTCATTGGGGCGAGAGGCGTATTTCTCCAGCGTGAACCAGGGACATCATCAGGTATTAGGTGTCAACAAGCCTTCACAAGCCCAAGGCGTCATTACAAAGCGCACTCACCTCTCGCTATGTTCAGCAGCAGCGCGCATAACAACATCACGTTTCTCCCGCTGCAGACAAGCCTCCAGCGCGTCATGGTCGAGTTGGGATGAGAGAAAACAACTCAACAAGTAGATATTATTTCCAATCTGAGGAGTGACTAAAAGTTGGCTAAAAGTTGTTTGGTTGAAGTTTGGTAGAAAGTTCGTGGCGCAGTGGGTGACGCGCGTCTGTCACTTTGGCTTCAACTTCGCTGACTCTCCTGAAACTTTGGTGCATAAAAAGAGCAATGTGATACTTGCGCTGACAGGCCCCACCCCCACCTCTCTCTCGCTCTCTCTCTCTCTCTCACTCAGGGTGAAGGACTCTGCATCTGGATCTAATAAACAGCCTGTTAACGCATACAGTGATGCAATAGTAACCAAAGGGGAATACAAGCGATGTTCACCCGGTTTTATTAGTGCTATATTGAGTTAAGAGTGGCGCACCAAGTTGTATTTATAAGGCTACAGAGTAAAGCTAGAGAACGTTAACTCACTTGAAATCACCAGAACTTATCCCTTTGCACAATAAGTAAGTAAGTCATGTTTATTTACATAGTGCCTTTCTCAGACCAGAGTCACAAAGCGCTTTACAATTGTTATTGGTTGGGCAAATGTCTCTCACTCCACACAGAGATGGGAGTGGGTTGACAATGAAAGTCAATATCCCCAAAAATCCTCATGGCCCCATTATTACAAAATCTAAAGCAGGTCAAAACAGGACTAAAACAGGGTAAAGTAGGGCTAAATAAAGATTATGTGTAGGTCACTGACTTACCAAACCAGTTCCTAAAAAGGACGTTTATTGATTGAATAAGTTGCAAATAAGTAAAATGACAACAAAATGTGTTGCATAATTGGGTAATGTTGTGTAGATGCGTAATTGAACAGGGAGGGATAATTCTCAATCTTTTAACAGGAACATGGTGGTCAGACTGGACAGACAGGACTTTTGGCACACTCCTGATTTTTGTCATTTGAATGGCAGATAGTTTCATTACATTAAGGAAGTGAGGTGCAAAAAGTGGATCTCTTACGGTTTCAGCGTTTTTGTACTTTTCGTGTTTGTGAAATTGCATTACAACATGAAAATACGTATTAAACATTGAGTGTGAAAATATAAGCTTCCATTACTCGCGCTGGTTTATAAAAAGTCCATTAAGGGCTGAAATATATTTGACAAATAAATGTATAACTGTAAACTATAGAGCTACTTTTCTTGGTTGGCAGCTCGAGGAAAGGGAAACGTTTTTGTTTTGCTATAATTTACTGAAAGACTGACTAAAAACATTCATTGAAAATTATCCAGACCAACACTGAATTATAAAAGACAGATACTCTTTAGCGCTGGGGTAACTTTCAAACCAGAAAAATAATGTGTATTGTATAATGAAATACATCTAACGTCTTCCTCGGTCTCATAACAGTTTGGCTCTGTCACTAGTTTTCACATGCATGTATTATTTGGCTTCTGTCTCATCTTTAGATCAGCTTTTTCAGTCAGAAAAGAGAAAAAAAAGAGAAGATAACATGTTTCCAATAACAAAAAGACAGCATGAAAATAGTGTGACAAGAGTCTTTCTGTTGGACCAAACATGTTATTTATATAAAAAATTAAAAGTTAGCTTCCCCAGCTTTGATAATCCAAAAGAGAATACTACCTGGTTACCAACAACCTGCTTTCAAATAACAAAAATATTAGTCAAATTATGGAAATTCAAAATATTATTAGTTCCTTTGAAACAGATGAAATAAAATACCTGTAAAAGTCTGAAGTCTTTGTTCTCTCCCACAGAATTCTACCACCATCTATGTTCGCATTATCGACGAGAACGATAATGCCCCCGAGTTTCCGGAGGAGGAGTACGAGACGGTCCTGAGTGAGGGCCCCGAAACCGTGGGGGCCACCATCGCCACGGTGACGGCCATCGATCCGGACGAGGGCCTGAACGGGACGCTGAGATATGCCATCGCCAACGGCAACCTCATCCAGACCTTCAGCATCAACAGCATCTCAGTGAGACAGAAAAACATGTCATGATTGATGAATGTGAAAACGTTTTTGACCTGAGGAAGTGCAATAAAGATGGGGTTTTCATAAGGGGATTTTAGAATAAAACAAGTATTTATGTTCTATTTAACTTCTTAGTTTGCACAAATGTCAAACGCGAGGTCCGCGGCCAAAATAGATATTTCATTATTGATACATTTTGAACCTAAGCAACACATATCTTCTCATACGTCAATATAACAGACAAAGAACAGGCTTATGGTTCTTAAAATTAGTATGATTTACTTATTATTGATAAGAGGTTAAACTGGCTGCCATGGCATGTTATACTTCATTTTAAAGCACATTTCCGCATAAAAAACAAGCACGTAATTGAATATATTCTTCAATTTGAACCCAGTCTGTAGTTTCAAGACGTCTTTATACCTTCAGCTCAATTTTGGTTAAATCCAAACACACTGTAGCTGAACTTCTTTTGTTCAGGGATATCCACTTGAATAAATAAGGAAATACATATAATGGCATGATTAGACATCAGGCTTTGACATGGCGATATTGTTTTGAATAGACAGAAATATGAGAAGAATGAGACATAGAGAACTAGCAGCAGTGACTCTAAATCTCTTAGCTAGACATGAGCAAAAATAATAAATATGATGTAAATAACCACAACTTATTTTGATCAATATGACAAACGTGTGTTTTATTCAGGGGAGGATCACAGCCGTCAAACCTCTGGACTATGAGATCAGTAACGGACACTACGCCCTGGTCATCACAGCCACAGACCAGTGCCCCATACTCTCTCTGCGGCTCACCTCCAGCACCACGGTAAACACTCCACTCTCCTATATCACAAAAAATAAACCACACAAACTGTTTTTATAAAGAGTTTTAAAGCTGTGGTAACTTTCAAACCACAAAAGATATAACCCTGCAATAAAATAACTCTACAGTAATTCGTTCCTCGTGCTAAAAACTGCAAAAATATAGTCTTCACATGCATTTATAGTGGGGTCTGTCGCATCTTAAGATCAGCTTTTGCAGATAGAAAACTGAAAACGAGAGGCAAGAGGGCCACATTCTCAGCCCGTCAGCTCTCTGCTCAAAACGTCAAATAGTGACTTTCAGGGCTCTTTCTTGCAGGTATGCCAAAATTAACATAGAAATAAAGACAATAATAGTAATAACTAATAATATGAAAACAACATGTAGTCTGATTTGTTCACAACATTTTACTATTGCAAGACTTTCTATTGGGACAAAGGGAATATTTATCGTTCATGAAAAAATAGTTGAGCCAGCTTTAATTTGGTGATTATATGGTTTTGCTTTTGTCATAGCCCATGTGACCTCGGATGGGTTGTTTGGATGAAACTCCGGATGGATAGTTGCCCGCAAGGCTAGTGTGAGGTGTGCTAATGGTCAAGGCATGTCTATTCCAACTGCATTTCTGTTTTCAGGAGGATTGCATCATCTTGCTGTTGCAGGAATTAAAAAAATTGGATAATGTACTAATGGGTTATAATGTTTTTTTACACACAATAACATTTGTTCAAAAATGTAAAAAATAACAATTTACAAATTATATTTTTTTCAAGCTGTATTTTAAAGCTTAGGCAATAGAGACTCAATATTATGAGTTTGACTTCTCTATTCCTCATTTCAGGGAACTCATACTTCTCTTTCTGCTTTGACAACTGTGCTATAATTATGACTGTTGACCCACATAGTGCTTTTTTCTTAACATGTTCTTTCATTTCAGGTTTTGGTGAATGTTTTGGACATAAATGACGTGACGCCCACTTTCCCCAGACCGTACGAGGGCCCTTTCGAGGTGACAGAGGGTCAGCCGGGACCCCGAGTCTGGACTCTCAAAGCCACCGATCAAGACTCAGGACTCAATGGCAAAATCGAGTACAGCATCACAGCCGGAGATTATCAAAGTTTGTGCATTTGGTTTTTCCACTTTCACAACTTAGGAATGGGCAATAACTCTCTGTCACATTGGTCCCTTCATGTTAGTGACCCCAACATCAGCCGATAATTGTCAAATTTGAAAGAAAAAACCCCCAAAACAATGAATATTTTCAACTCCTGAAAATCGGAACATTTGTTTTGCTCTTCATCCTTATTTCACCATACTTTCTTATTCCAGAATCTAAAACAAGAAATTAAAATTAAGTCTGATTATAATTTTTAATGGCCAAAGATAATGCATCATATTCTTTCATATTCATATTCTAAGGCCTTCAGATTATTATTTATTATAATTTAGTGAAGATTGACTTCTGCCACAATGTGAAACTTTACACAAGCTTCCTTCCATGTAACCTTGATAATGCACATACCACAACATAGATAGTAACATAGCAACATGAGCTGTAAATATGTTGCCTGTGGTTAAAGGAAGTGCTTTCATTTATTTAAGCAAATACTATGCGGCTATTTTCATGTTTCCTAGATGCAATCTTAAACCCCTGAAGCTATTTTACATGTTTTTTCAATACAGATGCCAAAAGGTTTAAGTGTTATTGGGAAAGAGCCACAATCCACATGTTTGCAGTTGAAAGCTGAGGTCTTTATCTCCTTCTCAGATGAGTTCATGGTTTCTCCGGTGGAAGGGGAGCTGCGGGTGAGGAAAGACATCGAGCTGGACCGTGAGACCACAGGATTCTATAACATCACAGTCACGGCCCGCGATCTGGGAACGCCGTCACTAAATAGCTCTGTGCGTATATATATGTGCTGTTTCCTGCAGTATCCAATGCTATAGTTACATAAAAAGTGGTTTACGGCATAGTTGAAATGTATTAATAGTAAGTAAGTAAGTAATCTTTATTTATATAGCGCATTTTAACAGATCATGGTCACCCCAAGAACTTTACAATGTTCAGAGATTGTTCCATTCTCTTCACACACGATGAAGGCGGAAGCGAGACACGGAACACACTGGAGCATCAACCACCCAACACCATCCATTCACTCACTGCATTCAGACTTATCGTGCATGTTTTTAGTGGAAGAGGAAACCTTATTACTTTGTTTAATTTTTGCGGTTTGAAACTGAAGTACCCCAGCTTTATATACTATTACATACTGGAAATACATAAATTATAATTAAACATTATGCTTCAAAAGGTTTTCTTGTAACAGCCCTACTTTATGAACTGTACAAATACATCCTTTCTATCTCTTGGTATTAAATCTATTTCTCATGGATCAAAGGTTTTTCAGCTATTTTTTCTGCCTTTTAACTTGAACCATTTTCTTTGGAAGGTGGTGGTTGGAATCTTGGTGCTTGATATCAACGACAATGACCCTGTGATCCTGAACCTGCCCTACAACACCAGCATCAGTGAGGGGGCTCCTGTCCACTACTCTGTGGCCCGGGTCAGAGCCACAGATGCGGACAGTGGACGAAACGCTCTCCTGTCTTATAACATCACTGCTGGAAATGTAGACGGAGCCTTCTACATCAATGACACAGTAAGAGATGCAAGTTTCTTATGGGGCTGCCTTCTTTCATTGTGGTCAGTGGCAAACAAACTAAACACATTTACATTATATTGGTTCTACAAACATCAAATGACTAAAACAGACTGTGTGCTGTTTCCTCCATATTGTAAGCAGGCATTCTGTCTTTCTCTTATTAGAAAACATTTCACCTCTGGTATATGTGTAAGACATAACCCTGTGAGTCACTTTGAGGCTGAGAGCCAATTGCCCGAGTGAAGGTGGTTCTCTGTTTCACCTTTCTATATGAAAAAGCACAGAGACCAAAATAGATGCATGTGTGAACTAGAGATGAAGTCAAACTGTTATAAGAACTAGTTGCATTTTATTCTATAGTTTAAAAAATAAAAACAATTCAAAGTTGTATCCCAGCCCTCCTACTTTTATATAATATAACATTTTTTACTCTGTGGGCTGAGAAAACATTGGCTTCTGCAAAAAATATAAAGAAAGCACAAGAATATACAGTTGAGATTTTTTTCTAGCCCAAGATGCAGATGTATGTACAGTATGTGATAGCAAAATACATAAGCTATTAGTATACATTACATTAACATTGACAACATTAACATTGACAACATCAGCATAACATGTACAATTTTAAACTATTTTAAAGCAGTACTTGCATATTCAATCTTCTTTTGATGTAATCTTCCAACTGAGGTCTATGTATCTATCATGTCAGCTCGATACCAGTAATTAGGGGTGCAACGGTTTGAAAAAATCACGGTTTGGATCGTACCTTGGTTCAGAGCCCACGGTTCAGTAAATTTTTCGAATCAGCAAAAAAAAAAAAACAAGTGTTACATCTTTTTAACATAATTAATGAAAAACAACACAAAATACAACATAAGAAGGCACTTTATGAGGGTATTTACCCTCATATATTAAACCCCCTTCCTGATTCTCCTGAGGAGGCGGTCCATTCTGGGCCCAGTCCAGCCTCCTTCACTGCATTTATTTTATTTTTGGCATTATCAGTTTTGACTGGGATATTAGTACTGGGCCTTTGTCTTCCATTCCTCCGCTGCTTGTGTGCTGTGTGCCTGTGTGACTTTCGTAGAGGGGGCGTGTCTGCAGCACCGGACTTCTCATCTCCCAGTCTGCTGTGATGAAGTGAGCAGCTATTGTAACATAGCTCTCCGTTCCGCTCATGGATCTATTATAGGTTCCGCGGGACGTCCAAGCGTCAGTCGTGAGCGCAGCTGCGGATACGTGGGAGAGTTGACTTTAGCCCGGTCTGTCTGTACATAAAGAAGCTGCTTAAATGCCGCGGCAATAAGCGGTCGTGAGGCGCTTTTTTATCACTCATGTCTTTCTTGTGCCACAGTGCTTACACATCGTGACTGTTTTGTCGAATATTTTATCTTCAGTATAGTTGACATTGAAGCCAAAATGCTCCTATACAGGGGATTTAAATGACGCGGGCTTCTCCATTCCTCCGCTCGCCATGATTACGCTGTGAGTGGACTGAACAACATAGTGGGAGCGCATAACTTTTTTTTTTATAAATCAAACCGCGGATCACGTCTGCAACGAAGACGTTGATCTGAACGGTCACGGATCAGTGATGAACCGTTGCACCTCTACCAGTAATGTAACCATGTATTTGGATGTTTGTGTTTCAGACAGGTGTGGTGCATGTGAACCGCCCGCTGGATCGAGAGCGAGTGTCTGAATACAGACTGACCATCACCGTCAAAGACAACCCTGAAAACCCACGCATCGCTCGCCGGGTAAAGAACCGGCTTTTGTACATTCATTCAAACATTCAAGGTTTAGTTAGATTCAATAAAGCCTTTGTTTCTCAAAGGGAACCGTTTGAAATCAGCCAAGTCACTTGAATATTTAATTAAAAGTATGTTTTTATAGAAAATCTGTTCCTTTTGTAATTGTAATTAAACTTGTAGTGAATACTTTTGCACACACAGTTGTGAACAGAAACAAATGTGTTTCTTCAGTTTGAGGACATATCATCTACATCCACATGTTGTTGATATTACCTTGGCCCTTTCTGTACCTCAGTGATTACATGTGTTTGTTTGTGTGTTTTGGTTTTCACGTGTGTGTCCATTTTTGAAAGTTGTGACGCTCCCGCACAGCAGTATTTGGAGCTGCTTTAAACAGGCTTTTTCAGTGTGCAAACATGTTTATACCTGGATATGAAATATGAATTGTAAACGTTCATTTGTATATTGTCGTTACGTCCCTATGGTTTACACACAATCCATGTGTGAACTCGAGGGATGTAACATTGTGTGGCGTCTAATGTCCTCTTTACCTCCAGGATCTGGACACGATGGTGATCACTATCCTGGACGAGAACGACAACAGGCCTTTGTTCAGCCGCACGAGTTACAGAGCTGAGATCACAGAGAACTCTGCTCCAGGTGAAACTCCTAACGCCTCTGAAAACAGACTGTTTCTGTTCTGTTTACATCTAAAAGTGATTTGAATCTGTTACTTCCTGGTTTCGTTTATTCACTGATGTTATTTAGATGAAGATAAATGGACTGTGTTCTTACATTTGTAGATATTTATATATTTCACTTAAAGTATAGAGATAATCTGTCACAAAGGAAAATGTCAAATTTAACATTTTATTCCCTGAGTATAAACTGTCCTTAGACCCTCCTTTTTTGGCAAAAAACACATTTGCAGGTACATTTTTTACACAAAATAAATTTTATTTATAATGCACTTTACACTTGACACCAAGTCTCAAAGTGCTACAAACAGCAGCAAAAATAAAAGCAGACATATAAAATCACTCAATTTTACTACTTACTACTTTACTACTATAACATGTATTTTCAGTATAAAATGACACCCTATAAACTTGCGTATGCATTTTTTTTCAGGCAGCACAGTGACAGTCTTGAACGGACCCATCTTGGCGGAGGATAAAGACATCGATCAAAATGCTGTGATCAAATATAATCTGACCGGAGCCAGGGTGGACCTCTTTACTGTGGACCCTAAAACCGGTGACACATTTTGTTCATTTTGTATTTATTTAGGCTGCATGTGTATGGGAAATTCTTGCTTTATTACATTTATATCTTTACGCGTATACAATCTCAAAAGAGTTGTGATTATTTTTACAAATAGACCTCTTTAGCATGTTGTGGATTGGTAGCCCCATTTCTTTTAGTCTACCCCAGGGCAGCTGTGGCTAAAATAGTAACTTACTCCAAACATTTATGGACAGAATAAATGATGCACACCATACAATTGTAAAGCGACTCTGTACATGTCTGTTCTCATGGATAAATATACAGTAGATTGCTTAAATCATTTTATTCCAGAATTTATGATCATTTCTGTATAAGTCATCAGTCATAAGTTCTCATTTTTATCCAGGTGTGATTCTTGTCCGCCTGGGGGCAAACCTGGACCGCGAGGCGTTTTTAGAGCCCAGGGTTGAGTTGTTCATTGTGGCTGAAGACATCGGTGGATTAAACAGCAGTGTGCCTCTGACTGTGACCATCCTGGACCAGAATGACAACCCTCCAGTCTTCAGCCCGTCCAGCTTCAGTGTGCGACTCCCTGAGAACAGCCCCACAGGTGAGAGACCGTCCACTGGGGGGACTCTTATGTAGGGTTTACTGCCAGCTCTGCATTGTCTTAAATTTTCTACTATTAATCTAATTGCTAAAAAGACAATGGAAATATCTACTGGTATAACTGCTGGGTCACTTTCTATGTTTACAATCGTTATGCTGTACTGTGGATACTTCAGGTCTCCATAGAGACTCTCCTCTTTCATTAAGGTTGCATGTGGCACCTTTTTAATTACCTATATGAAACACTGTTTATTTCACAGATGAATAGTCAAAGGATACTTCAGCATATTGATATATATGTTACTGGTTAGAGCTGTATGTATGTGTTATTATGAACTACTCCCATAATTAATCTTTGACCTATGCTTGTGAACAGGGTTGGGCCCTCACAAACTTCTCTGCTCACTCCTTTTGAGCTGTTGTTATACTGTTCTATAATCCACCATGAGACTGACTCCCACTGATCGTTGTGTCCTTGGGCAAGACCCTTAACCCCACTTTGCCTGAATCCCCCGCTGAAGTATCAAGGCTATGCTGTCACTGATAGAGCAGCCGTCCTCCTGTGGACTCACCACCTGCAGAAGGATCAGTGAGGGGCTGGGGCTCTGTGAATTGGGTGGCGGCTGATTGCCACCCCCCGACCCAGAAATGGACTATGGGGAAGAAATGGATGGATATTGTTCTGGATGGATGTCCAAAAATGCTAATGACAAATTTCCCTATAGAGACAATGAAAGTATACTTTGCCTTGCCTTACTCTTATCACAAAGCATATTATGTTTGGGAATCTTGGGAAAATAGATGCTCTTAATAGATGATCCTTAGTATTAGTTATTTAGTAGTATAAGCTTTTAATAGTACAATCTGTCTATATCTCGAATATGCCAAAGACAAAGGTATACAAATGTTGTTTCCCCAGAACAAAAGGTCAATTAAGATTGTAGATTGTTTTCTTCAGTGGCAAGGCAAGGCAAGGCAAGTTTATTTGTATAGCACAATTCATACACAAGGCAACTCAAAGTGCTGAACAAGATAGCATTAAAATCATAAATAATTACAGAACATTAAAACGAGAGATAAAAATATAAAATCCCTCAGTTGTATGCACAGCTAAACAGCACCGTTTTTAACCTGGTTTTAAACATTGTCAGAGAGGAGGCTTGTCTCACATCTTCAGGAAGATTGTTCCAGATTTTAGCAGCATGAATCTGAAAAGCAGCCTCCCCATGTTTAGTTCTGACTCTGGGCACTAACAGGAGTCCAGTCCCTGTGCTCCTCAGAGTCCGGGCTGGTTCATATGGGACTAACATGTCACTAATATATTTTGGTGCGAGGCCATGGAGAGATTTGTACACAAGCAGAGCTGTTTTAAAGTCTATTCTCTGAGCCACAGGAAGCCAGTGCAGAGACCTGAGGACCGGACTAATATGGTCGTACTTCCTGGTTCTAGTCAGGCTCGAGCTGCTGCATTTTGAATGTACTGCAGCTGTTTTACAGCCTGTTTGGACAGACCTGTGAGCAGGCCATTGCAGTAGTCTAACCTACTGGAGACAAATGCATGGATAAGAATCTCCAAGTCTGCTTTAGACACTATGTTTTTGATCCTGGCAATGTTTTTTAGATGGTAAAAAGCTGCTGATGTTACTGATTTGATGTGGCTATTAAAATTTAAGTCTGAGTCCAGTATTACCCCTAGATTTCTGACCTTGTTTGAAGGTTTTAGGGAGAGAGACTGTAGGTGACAGATGACGCTCTCTCTTTGTTTCTGGGGACCAAAGACAATCATTTCAGTTTTGTCTGCGTTTAGCTGAAGGAAGTTGTTTTGCATCCACTCACTGATCTGTTGGATACAGTGAAGGAGTGAGTCCACTGGTCCATGTTCTCCTGCAGTCAGTGAGACATAGATCTGAGTGTCGTCTGCATAGTTATGATAGGAAACTTTGTTTCTGCGTATTAACTGACCTAACGGCAGCATGTAGAGATTGAACAGAAGAGGTCCCAGGATCGACCCCTGTGGTACTCCACAGGTCAGGGCCATATGATCTGAGACACAGTTTCCAATCTCCACAAAGTACTTCCTGTCTTCAAGGTAAGACCTAAACCAACTTAGGGCGGTGCCAGCGACGCCAACCCAGTCCTCTAGTCTCTGTAAGAGGATCTCATGGTCGACAGTATCAAAGGCAGCACTTAGATCTAACAGGATTAGGATTGAGTGAAGGTCTTTTTTGTGGTCGTGGTGATTAAGTGGTCTCCAAATATGCATTTTATTTTTGTGACTCATACTTTTTATTTTGCTAATACATTTTAATACTTTTTGTATGCATACGTAAGTCTGATGGTGTTTTTGATGGTGGAAATGGGAATTCAACTAAAGTTCTATGTTTAATTAAGCACAGATCTCTGTGCCATGCAACAATGTAATAACGCAATACAAATACTGTATAAAAACATATTAAAAGTACATTAGAATCAGTGCAAGATTGATCATTAAGGTACAGTAATCAACCAGATTTATTCGGACACTGAATTAGAAACAAAGATGTTTATTGCAGCACGGGCGGCACGGTGGCTGAGTGGATAGCACTCTCGCCTCTCAGCAAGAAGGTCCTGGGTTCGAATCCCGGCCGGACCAGGGCCTTTCTGAGTGGAGTTTGCATGTTCTCCCCGTGTCTGCGTAGGTTTCCTCCGGGTGCTCCGGTTTCCCCTACCACTAAAAATATGTACAATAGGTATGGCATGTGCCTCCTGTACTGGCTACCCCCACCCAACAATTGTAAACCGCTTTGAGACTCCGATGTGCAGTGAAAAGGCGGTATATAAATAAAAGCTTACTTACTCACTTACTTACTTACTATTGATTAAGATTTACATGAAATAATTTGTCGTAAATTGAAATATGTTGATATTTTAATTCAAAACTCAAAATGAGATTCCCTGAGGTCTAGACCCTGGTAATGTGCTGATGACGTAGATATAGATATGAGGAGGAAAAAAATCAGGTGTCCAGCAGCAGAAACACATCAATCCACACAACCAAATAAATACATCATTCTAAAAATTACTAAAATTCTAAAAGTTACTAACAATAGTAATATAGTGAGCAGGCCAGGTCACAGCAGCAGAGGTGGGGCTCCATTTTCTCTGCTCTAGTCCAGAGTGAAATTCTGAATGCTTTGTTAGCATTTTTCACCAAAAATGAGTATTCCTCCTGTGGATTTATGTTTGATCTGCTTGGTTCAGACTGTGCATCTGCTCTGCTCTGGTCTGGATCAGTGTTTAACCGCGAACACTGTACTCCAGTAGTATTTACAGCTAGAAAAAACCAAGAAGAAAAACCGATGGTAAGGCACAAAACAACAGCTGTTTAAAAGCTTTCTATGACTTTCTGCCGTTTCCAGCGCTTTGAAAGGAAACAATCATTAACTGTATGTGGGAATTAATAAAGAGGTATCTATTCCTTTATCTGGAAAATGGCAACTAATCTGTGTTTATTCCGCAGGTGTGGTGGTGACGCAGCTCTCGGCCACAGACGCAGACTCGGGTGCAAACGGCTGGCTCTCGTATCGCCTGGTGAGCGGCGCGCAGGACCGTTTTCTGGTGGAATCCATCTCCGGAGCGGTGCTGGTCGGGAACTCCACGCTGGACCGCGAAGAGCGAGGGTCCTACCGCCTCGTTGTCATGGCGACGGACCGCGGCACGCCCCCTCTGTCCGGCACCGCCACGCTCACGGTGATCCTGGACGACGTGAACGACTCGAGGCCGCGCTTCATCGAGCCCGTCACCGCCATCAACGTGAATGAGTCCACTCCGGCCGGTGTGGTCGTGGCCACGCTGACGGCGGAGGACCAAGATCTACAGCCCAGACTGGAGTATTACATCATCTCTGTGGAAGCAAAGGATGATGGGAACAACCCGGTGGGCGGCCTGCAGGACTCCTTTGGCATCGACTTGCACACCGGTGAGACGCCACGCTCTATCTGGATCTGTTTTTAAAGGACATATAAGGCAAAGTCCAATTTTTTGAGTTTCATGGTACAACATTGTAAAAAAAAAAACACTTTCTTAGCTTGATGGCTTGTGGGTTTTGCATATTCTCCCTGTGTCTGCGTAGGTTTTCCTCCGAATGCTCTGATTTCCCCTAAACGTAATACATATATAATAGTTCAGGGTGAATGAGCGTGTGTTTGCAGTGTGACTGTGGGACATCGGCTGCAAATTATCCCAAGGCTACGACCCAGAGAGATCGGTCAACTTTGACATTCACTCCACCAACCAAATAAACAATAAATAAATAAAAAATAATGTGAGGAACTTCCTTCTGTCTAAATGCTTTTGTCTTAAACACGTTACCCTATGACTAATCTTTACACTATAACGTCTTCTAAAAGATATTGCCTCCCGATTCCTCCAGTCAAATGATGTTCTTTACAACATGGCGCATTTCAATTACAATGCGCAATGTTTGAAGTTTACGTTTGATAAAGTAATTTTCCACTTCTACCACATGATGGAGGATACAATTATGGATTGGATCATTTCATAAATGTTTTATCTAGTAAAAAAATTCTCATTTTTGGTGATGATTATTGCCTTAGATTGTCTAATTCTTTGAAAAGCAATTGACAAAGTCCTTCCTTAGAACCTTAATGCAACATCCTCCCTGATTCCTCTGTATAACTTTGGTTTCCTGTCTGTGTCAGTGCATGTTGTTAAAGATATAATTTTATCCTATAATATTGTCATCTTTTGTGTATCTTATATGCCCTGGTTCAGTCTGGTTTTATATGCTAACAATAGTCATGTTATTTTTTTTTTTCAGGTGCAGTCTTTGTGCGAAACCCACTCAACAGGGAGCTGGTGGCTACATTTGAAATAATTGTGTCTGTTCACGATAACGCCAGTGAAGTTATCGACAAATCCGGCAGTGTGCCAAATGGTAAGCCATTAATTAACACAAACATTTCAATGCAATTATGTCCTAACATTTTAATTACTCTTTTGTCTTTAGCGAGACTGACCATTAATGTGCTGGATGTAAATGACAATGCCCCTCGTTTCCGCCCGTTTGGAGTGACAAACTTCACAGAGAAGATTTTAGAAGGAGCTCAGCCTGGGACCACTCTCCTGTCTGTGTCTGCAGTGGACCCAGACAAAGGCCCCAACGGACAAGTCATTTACCAGCTCCTGCACCTGCCGCGGGGTGACTATGTCCGGCTGGAGGACCCTTCCACTGGTAAAATAGATTTTTAAATAAACACTATCTACAGAAGTCTGTTTTCGAGAAATAATTTGTCCCATCTGCTGTAATCATGCAAAACTCTGCAGTGGGATCACAGAGATGAACTAAAGCATTCTGCACTTTACATATATTATTATGATTGTATTTTATGTGGGCCGCTTTTTTTCCTTTATTGTCTTTCTTCACTGTTTCTTTGTGTTTAATGTGAGGTGGGCCAAAGATGAATTTTTGCCTCAACAGACAATAAAAGAGCTTTTTCATAATCTCGCTTAAGGCAAGGCAGAATTCATAGACAAAGCTACCAGAGCATTTTTAAACAAAACAAAAACATTATAGTATCAATAGGCTGTCAAAGAAAGACAATTTCTTGAGAAAAAGAATAATTGTTAGTTTTTTAGTGTGACATGTGCAGCTCTAGTGTTTCTATTCTTCTAATGGTCTGTGGATACAAACTGAAAATGGGATGTGATGTTTTTATTATCCCTCAATCACATTTGCTCAGCAGTGATGTGATTGATGGAGGCACATACCACGGGGCTAATCTCAAATAGCCCCAATAAACCAACTTTAACTCCTTTGATTTCAATACTTGTCTGTTTTTTCAGGTAAGATTGTGGCCAACCAGACCGTGGACTTTGAACAGATCCATTGGCTGAATTTCACCATACGAGCCCAGGACCACGGCACGCCTCCACGTATCGCTGAGCTCCCCGTTTTTCTACGCATCGTGGACATTAACGACAACAACCCCATCTTTCTACAGCCCACATATCATGTACGCAATCATAAATGTTCTGTATTATTTTATATTCATTACATATTAGATAAAACATGTGTCATCTTTAAACTGTTTGATTTCTGGTTGTGTTGAAGGAGCCTGTATTTGAAGATGTAAACTTGGGGGCCACCGTAGTTCGCGTTCAGGCCACAGACGCAGACTCGGGCCTCTTTGCAGTGCTTGAATACAGTCTGGTGGATGGAGAGGGAAAGTTTGGCATCAGGCCCACTACTGTAAGTGCTCAATACTTGTTTAGTTAAGATTAAAGTTATTAAAGGGGATTGGGAGACTGAGGTGATCAATGATTTTGCTGCTGGGGAGAAAATAAGGTGACAAGGAAAGTGTATGTTAGTGATGGAGGGGGGAGTGTGTTTGTGTGATGTTGAAAAGTAAAGAAAGTCAGCTCTGATTGGCTGAAAAACAGACAGGTTCCAATTGGTATGATGTATACTATAGGTTAATTATAATGTTATTGTCAAGATTCATGCCTAAACTCTGAGAGCAGTCAAATCCCCTTTTCTATTCTTGCATTTCTTTCTGTTCTGTTCAAATCTTATTATCATTTTTCTACTTCTGTGAGTCTCTTGAATGTCAGTAGCTAGTCTAAACATTTATGTATCGTGGCTTCTCATTGTGATACACAGACACCCAGTCTGACCACGCAGGACTCCTCCCTGACACTGCTGGCACTTCCTTCCTAATGGCTCCCCTCCTGTTTGTGTGATAGGGCGAGATCTACATCCTCTCTCCGCTGGACAGGGAGACCAAGGACCATTACACTCTCACGGCTGTGGCCCGGGACAACCCTGGAGGCAGCCCCAACAACCGCAGGGAAAACTCTGTGCAGGTATGAGCCCACAGAGAGGTATTAGGTGGAAGAGGATGCTGGATTATCAAACAAAATTATACAAATGAGTGTCCCATATGAAATCCTTATATGAAATAAACTGGGAGGTTATACTTTTGCTAACTGTTCAGATATATTATTTTTTACCATGGAGCTGCAAACTGTTCTTGAAGTGAAATCCCTAATGATTTATTTATTTATTTATTTATTTTTCTTGCGGCGATCTCCAGGGGTTTTATGTTTGTTTATCTATGTGTTTGTTTGTTAATAATTGAATAATCATAAATAAATGATTGAAGAAAAAAAAATCCTAGTGATTTTCCCCGTTGGGAAGGAAATCCTCATAAGTCTGACAGCTTGCTCAGGGTTAGTTAGCTATATGATGAATAATGACCACAAGAGCTGCATTTTGAAATTTTTAAAACAGCAACATTTTGCTGTATTTTAATTCTATGGATAGGATAGATTTACCAGAGTAGACTATGACATCCACACACAGAATTTCAGCTCAGTCCTGCCTACAGACAAACAGAGACACACTGACGACGCAATGAACAGAAGTGTCCTACTGTTGGACAAATATCAAATCTTGTATTTTTTCTTGAATACTAAAAATGGTAAATCTAATTATGTAGTTATCGGGAAAACTAGCTGAATTGAAACAGGTTTATTGACTTCTGATGTAAAACTGTAGAATTGATTCTCTGTGCTGTACCTGCTTCTTCATGGTGGCACATTTATTTAGCTTGAATGGAGATAGATATTGTTAAGATGGAGCAGAGGAAAGGCCATCTGATAAAGAAACTATTCCAAAATATGTCTCTGCTTTACCTAAACGATCCAAACTGTCTTCACCCCTCTGCTTGTGGACTGCTGCAGGTGCTGATTACAGTCCTGGACGTAAACGATTACCAGCCGAGGTTTTCTGAGCGTGTGTACAACACCAGTGTGTTTGAGAACGAGCCCAGTTGGACCTCTGTCCTCACCATTAAAGCCACAGACCTGGACGAAGGAGACAATGGAGCCCTTCTCTACACCATGCTGGGAGCCAACACTGGTACAAGCACAAAAAGTCACTCTGGATAAACTGACGACATTAAAGCTGGGTAGCTAATCGTCAAAAAGGTGTAGAAAGAGACACACATTGCACATCTAAAGTGTTAAAGCTGTGTGCTGGGTCCACAGTAACACATGAAATGGTAATGATACACACCTTTTATGCATATTTTATACAAGTATAACAGAAACTAGTCTACTGTAGAGGTGTGACCCATTACTTCTTTATAGCTGAAGAAGGCAACTGCCCAAAACGTCACATGGTATGAATGAACACTGTTTTTGCGCTACTTATGCTGTTGTATGAATTTTTTTCTGTGGTACTATCAAACATAGCTTTGAGGGAGGCACACGGAGGCGAGACCAAAACTTCTTAGACCTATTTGATAATCCCATCAAAAATTAGTGTGATTTTGTTTTTTGAGTGAACTCCGTATTCTGTTGGTTTGTACTCAATGTCTTCTTCAGTATGCAAATATTCCAAAAAATATATGTAGCAGACAGTCTCTTTTTTAACACACAGCAGTATCTATAATTATGTTTTATGATGCTTAAGGGTTCTAAAACATGTCTTGATTTGGCCCCAGTTTAGAATAATTTCATGTGCGTGGAAAAGTGTGTAAAAAACATGTTTGTTGACTGAGAGGATGTGGAAGGTCTGTGTGGCGCCTGGAGTTACTAATGGGGATAAAATGATAGCAGCATTATCAGAAGAAGCAATGGCCAAATAATTAGCAACATTTGAAGACGTCTAGTTGTAAAAGAGCAATAAACAGTCTGTTGCTCATGATCTTCAGGGCCTCAAGCTTCAGTGAAAACAAACATAATTTGTCAAACTTATATCAGACATGGAAACCTTTTTCTGTTATTTTATCAATCAATCAAAGTTTATTTGTAGAGCGCATTTCATACACAGGGCAACACAAAGCGCTACTAAAGTATGGTTTGTTTCTAGTGTCACAAAATAAATCACAATTGTCATATTATTTGACCTCTTGCCAGTAGAAAAGGACACTTTCTGAGATTTACATTAAATCTCATTTAGTCAATCTTCTCATAACTTACAGAAAGTACAATGTTTGTCAGGAGTTGCTATTTTAGTATTGATTAATCATTTACGTATGGCTCTAATGCAAACTTGAAAACATGAAGATACTAAGAAATGACCAAAACAGGCTAATAATGTAATAAATAAATACAAATGGAAAAGTTTTGTCTGTAAAAATTGAGATATTCAGATGTCTTTTTCTGTTTTAGATTCAAATTTACATCAAACCTCACATCAGCGCTTTAGACAACTATCTCAACTAACTAAAGTTGAGGTAATATTTGATAGATGAATTGAATATAATAATAATCTTTAGGTTTAGCTAAAATACATATTGTAGATTCTCTGTTCTATACATGTGTTATCTTGTGTCCAGATGCCTTTGCCCTGGACCCAAACACGGGTTTGATTCGCTCGCGCCGCATGCTGCTCTCCTCTGAGCACTTCAACCTGACCGTGGTGGCCACAGACCAGGGCCGACCGCCGCTGTGGGGGACCGCCAGGCTCATCATCACCGTCATCGACGTCAACGACAACAGGCCCACGTTTGTGCGGCCAGCCAACGGCACCATCATCCATATCTCTGAGGTGAGTGGGTTTGCTTTGTCTATCTCTAATGTCGAAGATGCAGACTCTGCGTTACATAGTTGCAACACATTTCCCCATAATCAAGATTTTACTCAAGTCGTCTTTTATAATATCATCAGATCTGGCTTATAGGCTTATAGTCTGAGATATTGTAAGTAACAAGAAATGAAAAAGGCAGGAATCTTTTAATCCTGGTCAGAACAGGGCCTTTCTGAGTGGAGTTTGCATGTTCTCCCTGTGTGGAGTGCTCCGGTTTCACCTACAACCAAAAACATGTACAAGCCATTTCTGCTAATCCCTGTATTTGTACGAAGCAGAGCTTCAGGAGAGGTCATTGCTTTTATATAATATTGATTGGACGCATAATCTTTATTAAGGGTTTATGTTTGTTCAACATACTGTGAAGCCGTATGTCGTGTAGTCAAAAAATAAATCGAAAAAAGTTAATATTCACGCTCCCAGTTCATCAAATCTGCATGAAGAAAAGTTTATAAAACCTCTGTGTAGTGCAGAACTTCACTTGTAGTCTGGGTTTGACAACATGCATTTTTTAATTTTAGTCATGTTAGAGTTTTTGTAAAATTCCTTCTCAGTGTATCCACCTCTTTTATCAGCAGCATACGCATGATGCCAGCGTTGGAAGGTCACTCTTTTGAATGGGAATGTGCAGCCGTTCTGTAGGCCCGTTGGGGATAAATAGTTTCATAGAATTACGCCACAATAATGACGCAAAACACATTAGAATTCTCACCGACTGAGGCATAAAAGATCCTAGAATATGTTTGATGTGATGATTCAGGAGCAGCCTCCAGGCCTCAACGTCTACGAGGTCCATGCCACAGATTCAGATGAGGGCGTGAACGGAGAGGTACGCTATGGGTTTCTTCAAACCGGAGCCGGGAACAGAGACTGGGAGAACTTCCACATCGAAGCGGTGACAGGAGTCATCACCACCACTGTCAAACTGGACCGGGAGAAACAGGCCCTGCACAGCGTATGTTATCACTGAACTGTTACATTGTTTTTTAACAATAACATTTATCAAAGTCTATATGATCCAACAGCTTATCATTGTGGCCCGAGACTTGGGTCAGCCAGTGCCTTACGAAACCACACAGCCTCTGCAGGTGGCGCTGTTGGACATAGATGACAATGAACCTGTCTTCCTCAAACCACCAGTGAGTAAGACTCGTTTTACATCTGGAGACCAGGTTCTAATGGAGCTGTGAAGTGGGCTTCAGGAAGTAAATATCCCAATGTTTTTTTAAAATGATTGATAACGTGTCTGGGGGCGATCCGCTGTCTGGTGAGCAATGACCTGAGATCTACATTCATGTAAATATTGTATGCTTTTAAAACATTAAAAACTGCAAAGTCAAATGTGCAAATGTGGCAAGTGAAATTCAGCCAAAACCACCATGTTATGGATAGCAGTTTGCAGGAAGCTAGTTCGCCTTCGTTGTTTATTCAAACTCTTGACATTTTTGGAGAATTTAAATGGTAATTTGTACTTTCAAAAACTTGATGGCCAGTGGTTTGCTCTATTGTAATTAGGAGTCAACCCATTATTGGCTGGGTCAATTATTGGCATCGATACTGACCGATATATTGATATCTGCCGATTTTTCAATATTTTAACAGTTTTTCTCAATTTTTTATTTTTTTCCTTTTCTTTTTTTGCCGTCAAATTATTGTTCTAGTCTGGCCTACTGATCTGTATATACATAAACAATCTGTTTGTTTTAATGCCTAAAGTGCATGCATATTCAACAAAAGTTACAGCAAGGGTTGGAATCTGGTGTTTGTTAAAAAAAATTACACCAATGTTCTCACTTTCACTGCAAATGAATATTGGCTCTATACATCAGTTATCGTCTTCCTTGAATACTAATAAATGGTAACAGCCCAGAAAAAACCACATCTGTCAAAGCCTCAGTTTTACTCTCTCTTGAACAGTGTTGTTTTGTGTGGTAGGTTGGTGCTGCACCTTATCAGACCCTCAAAGTGCCTGAACACTCGCCTCCTGGGACCATCGTGGGACAAGTGACCAGTGCTGTGGACGCGGACGAGGGATCCAATGCTATTGTGTACTACTTTATTTCAGGTAAACGTTGTCTATTCAGGATTCAAGTTTTATTTATTATTTTTTGATTAACTTTGATACCATCTCTGCTGCTGTGACTGATAGTGCTGTTGCTTATTATTGTTAACTTTTTAGAATGATCAATTTATTTGTTTTTATTTTTATTTAATTTGTTTGTATATTTTATTTTTTCATTTGTATTATTATTATTATTTTTGCTGCTACTGGACACCTGAATTTCTCCTACGGGGGATCAATAAAGTATCTATCAATCTACCTATTGACACTGCAGCTTTGAAATGTCCAAACTCAAGCTCTGGATAGTTTGCTTCAGAGGGATTTGTTTCACATAAAATAAATCAAATGCATTTAAAGTGTTTTTATGCTGCATTTCTCAAATGTCCTGGTGGCGGCCAGCTTTCTGGTGGATTTTATTAGAGTTTATCATTCAACTATCCTTTGGAGACAAGCATTTAAAGACAAATTCTCCATAATTAAAGACTGTACATGTATTTACCAAACCAGCACATAGGTTTTGGGTTTTGTTTGGTTGGTCACTTCTAATTCTACCTGTATTTAATCGTAACTTTAAACTATTCAAAGCACACATGGACACAGACTTTATTATTTACTTATGTGTTTCAGGGAAAAACACGGATGGAAACTTTGCCTTGAGTCTGGACGGGGAGCTGAGGCTGACGAAGGATTTGGATCGAGAGGAGACGCCGTCCTTTACCATCATCGTCAAAGCCTCCAGTAACAAGAGCTGGACCCCTCCCCGTGGATCCAGAGCCTCACAACCCCGAAACCTGGACCCGGCCCGGGACCCAAGTCTGTTGGAGGTCCGCATCATCCTGGAGGACATCAACGACCAGACGCCTCGCTTCACGAAGGCAGAGTACACGGCAGGTCAGAGAGTCAAATTCAGAGAAGCACAGTAAAACAAAAACTAAAACAATTATTTTTACACAAAAAAGGCTGAGGTTTGGCACTGGTTTGTGCCTAACCCCGTTTCCCAAATCACAAAACATTTTGCACAAAATGTGGCAATCTGCAAGAGAAAAATTCTATTTTATTTTTTTACTCAAAACTTTACAACTACACTTGAACATTTGGTCCAGCTTTTGTTCAATCAAAACACTGACCCCCATTTTGTTCAGAAAAATCTACCAGAAAATGTAAATGTAAAAGTGTTAAAAAACACTATACTTTGAGTTCTCATCTTTCTTTCTTTTTTTCTGTTTTTTTTTTTATTTTTTAGATTTGCTGCGTTTGCTCTTATTCCTGAAAACATTACATCATATTTTTACATTATGATCAATTTAATATGTTTTTCAGGAGTGGCTACCAATGCCAAGGTGGGCTCCGAGCTGATCAAAGTGGTGGCCATCGACCACGACATTGGAAACAACAGTATCGTTCATTATCACATCGTTACCACTCAGTACTTCCAGACGCAGAACAACGACAGTGAAGTTGTGGGAAATGTCTTCATCATTGGTTTGTTTTCCATTTTGTCTCTATCAATGATATTTTATTGGAGTTCAATTTTTTTTTTTAATGTATTTTAATATGTTTAGATTAGGGCTGTCAAAGTTATCGTGTTAACGCACGTTAATACATTTTTTACATTAATCGCGTTTAAAAAATTAACGCTTTTAACGCATGTGCCAAGTGACTGGCACCCTGCACGCGTGACCACAGGCAATTGCTGTAAATGGGAGTCCGCAGTGTTCTGGGGCAGCTGCGGTTCCCGCGTCCTGCAGCCGTGAGCGGCTTTCAACAGCACGGGAGCGTGCAGCCGTAACGTGGCCATGTACCCAATGCCATACACACGCACAGGAGCACTGTGTGCACTGATCACGCACAGGAGCACTGTGTGCACTGATCACGCACAGGAGCACTGTGTGCACTGATCACGCACAGGACCACTGTGTGCACTGATCACGCACAGGACCACTGTGTGCACTGATCACGCACAGGAGCACTGTGTGCACTGATCACGCATAGGCGTGACCAGTGCACACAATAAAAACAGCGCTGCAAGAAACAAAGCAAAGCAAAAAAGCAAAAAAAAGATAAATTAAAGCTGGGGTACCTAACTTTTCCTTTGCACTACCATTTCCTGTTTGTTTCCTAATCGTTTGACAGCCCTAGTTTAGATTTTTTGTCCCAACAGAAAGAATTTTCTTTAAATAACATTTTCTGAACAAACCAGACCACAACATGCCGTTTCACCAGAAAACATTTTATCTTTTACATTCTGAGAGCTGATTGGCTGAGTGACGGCTGGATCTTCTTTCCAGTGAAAAAGCTGAAGCCAAAATTATATTTGTACGAAAACTAGTGATAGAACCAAATAGTTTTTAGTCAAGACACAAGTTACTTGGATTTTGTAACATAGTTATTTTTTGTACATGGTGGATAGCCCTCTTGCTTCTCAGCAAGAAGGTCCTGGGTTTGAATCCCGGTCGGAACAGGGCCTTTCTGAGTGGAGTAACAGCAGTAGCAGCAGTAGCAATAGTAGTTCTAGAAGCAGTCGTAGTGCATACTGACCTGGAGCCTATAAAACTGGTGTCAAAACTTGTGTCTTTCCTCAGGCCTGACAGACGGAATTATCCGCACCTACGACCTGTTCGGAGCGTACAAACCTGGATATTTTCAAATGGAAGTTTTGGCTTGTGACATCGACGGACGCTGCACCACCTCCAACGTGCACATCTACATCCTACGGGACGACCAGAGGCTCAAAATTGTCTTCAACGAGATCCCAGACATCGTGCGAGCAAACCAGGAGGAATTTCTTAACCTTTTGTCCAACATCACAGGAGCCATTGTAAACTTAGATGATGTCCAGGTATTGAGAAAAGGATACAATGATCTGTGTTTTTGGTGATTTTGGGGTATTTGAATAATTCCCTTTTTGTTTGTTTTGTAGTTTCATGTTGATAAGAAGGGCCGAGTGAACTATGGCCAAACAGACATGCTCATCCACGTGGTGAACAATGAGACCAACTCCATCCTGGATGTAGAAAAGTAGATATCCATTTCTATTGCATGTCTTCTGCTTGCAGTCTGTTGGGCTTGATGTTGGCTGGTTGCCTTCACACTTATCCTGATTTATTTATTTCAAAACCTGCACAACTTATTCCTAATGTCAGTTCAGCTTCTGTCCTTTTCTCATTGTAGTCCTACTCTTGGGGTTCTTAAAGTGAATTTGGGTGGAGATGTGAATGCATCCTGGTCAAATCAATGCTTACGGTTTCAGTCCAACAGCTGTTGACCCCTTTACTGTTGGCAAAAAATGTCAGAACCAGTTTCCAGAAAGAACAGCAGCAGTAGTAGTAGCAGTAACAATGGTAGTGGCAGTTGTTGTGGCTGTAGTAGCAGTAGGAGGAGGAGTCAAAGTAACAGTAGTAGTAGCAAGTAGCAGTAACAGTAACAGTAGCAGCAGAAGTAATAGTAGTAGTAGAAGCAGTCTAGATATTGATCTGGAGGCTATAAAACCTGTCAAAACTTGTCTTTCCCTAGGCCTAACTGACGGCATTGTCCGCACTTACGACCTGTTTTCGAGAGTACAAACCTGGATATTTTCAGATGAAAGTTTGAGCGACGCCCTGTCACCTATGACCAGTTGTTATTACCTTGATTAGCTGCGATTATTTTGCTGTCGCCTAGATAAATGACAAGACTCCTACAGTAAATGGCCCAAATTTAAGTGGCCGAACATCCACTAGAAACTGACACGTTTTATAGCGGGTTATATTATATATGATTTTCTTTCTATAAGTTCTGCGACGAAAAGACTAATAACAACTTAATTAAAAACAGAAACACAAAAGATACACACCAAAAACAGCCGTGGAGTTCACCCACAGATGAGTGGAGAAAAGTTTATAAAAGACATAAAATTGAGACAAACACATCTATCAAAGCTCCTGCCAATTTGTATAAAAGTTTATTTCAATAGAGATGGATTTGTTTCTCAGTATTTGGTCAAAGCCGCAAAAGTAAAACCTTCAATTTCATTAATAGAGAAGCTGTTCTAATTTGTTCTTGCCTCTGTCCAACATAGCTCCCAGTCCCCTCTGCTGAGCTCCCTCACTTAAATGTTTTTTGTTTTATTAATTGAAGCCGCTGTATGATGGGATGAGGTGTGTTTCATTTGCTTCTAACGTGAACCCAGTCCAGACTTACAAGTGGGAACATGCTCTGGTTTACAATTGGTCCTTAATATTATGTGGTGTTTTCGCATTCCGAGCAAAGGTCAGTAATGGGCAAAATAACAAAGAATCACAGATCAAATGCAGGTTCCTGGGATGTTGTTTATGTGGCTGCTTTGTTGCTGGGAAAGGGCTAAATTGATGGATATAATTGTGAATGTTATTTAGCTACTTCTTCTTAAACTGTGGTTCCTTCACAACAGAACATTACTTTTAAATACATACTGTATACTATTTGTGCATTCATATTTTGTTACTAGTTTAGTCTAGATCTGTTTTTTATCCCATCTCAGCCCAGGTTCAGATTTAGTTACAACATTATTTTACCCTATTACCTGTGATTTATGGCACAATAATTCCATATAAAATCTGTCTTCCTCAGAGTGATTCAGATGATCGACGAGAACAAGGAGCAGTTGAAGAACCTGTTTAGAAAGTACAGTGTGGTGGACGTCCAGCCCGCGGTCTCAGAGAAACTGCCCGATGACTTATCAACACTGCAGGTTTGAAGCTACTGAGTCTGGTTATCTCAATATATTATAGAAATAGTACATGAAAAAATGTGTGGCAAATATTCAAAAATGTTTACCTGTTTCTATGCTTTTAAATCTTTTTGACTGTTTTATTTGCACCTGTGATCATGAGCTTTGGGTAATGACTGAAAGGACAAGATCGGAGATAGGAGCCAGTTGAGGTGACTCAGGGATCTGTTTCCGATGCCTCCTCGACGCCTCCCTACGGACCCGGGGAAGACCCAGGACACGTTGTAGAAACTATTTCTCTCAGCTGACTTGGAAAAGCGTGGGCTGGAGGAAGTGTGGTTGGAAAGGGAAATCTGCAGGTGTCTGCCCAAACTGGTGTCCCTGCGACTTGGCAACGGATAAAGCAAAAATGGATGGAAGGATACAAAAAACATATTGTCAGAATTTCTAGAAAGTTATAGGTTTATAATGTTCATGTGAAGGATTTATATTAAAGGAAAAACTCATCTCTATTTCAGCTCATCACAATATTGACTAAAACTATAAATAAAATGCTACCTTGTACCTGTTTGTTGCAGCTGGTCATCATCATCCTGGCTGTTCTGCTGTGCTTAGCAGGAATCCTCTTCATCACAATGAACTGGCATTACCGCAGAGTGTAAGGCCTCCTTTTTCCTTTTTTAACATACTCCTCTTTTTTTTCTTTTTATCCAATTTAACTTGTCACAATTCTCTTTTCAGACATGAGAGGAAGCTGAAGGCTGTCACCGCTGGGTCCGCTGGTACGACACACAGCAACAATTACTGTCGTTATTAGTATGAAAAAAGAAAATTAATATAAATTGATTTTGTGCTGACAGGAAACCCAGGTCTAATGGACATCTTGGATATGCCCAATACTAACAAATACTCCTTTGAAGGGTGAGTATCTATATTCTTATTACTTTTTTCAGGCGCCATGTGTGTGTAATGTTGTGGTAATTTTGAAGACGCTTAAAGGACACATATTAAGCAAACCAAATATTTGTTAGCTTTTATCTTTGTCTTGTGTCTTGATTTCTCCTTTCGAGCCCTTTCAAAAAGTCTTCCAAATTGGCCTACGTGTTGTATCATAAAGTTTCACAGGTCCATAATTTGTCTTAGTGTCCGTGTGTGTGTGTGTGTGAGTGTGTATGCGTGAGCGTGTGTACATGCATGCGTCTGGTTCATTTCCACTTTACTTCAGATGTAGTTTGTATAGTGATATTAAACATATTTCTAGTATAGTTTAACAGTGCGTGGTGCATTCAGGGCAAACCCGGTCTGGATGGATCCGTTCTGTCGGAACATGGAGCTGGCGGTTCAGGCCAATCACGAGGACGACCTCCCTGAAAACCTGAGCGACATCGCGGACCTGTGGAACAGCCCGGCTCGCACTCACGTGAGTAACAGCCATGGATCCATGACGGAAACAGCCAAAGCAGCTAAAACACCATTCAGATAATGTGCACGTTTAAGTACATCTGCTACATCCTCAATGCAGTACGTCAGGAGGGGCTAAAAAGGTTAAAGAAGATCGAGAAGCGCCTGAATACTTTTGACTCAAAAATGTTCATTGAATACATAGCCAGATACAGTATGTGCAATATAAAAAGTGAAAAGAAACTGCACCTTTTCACAGCCCTCTTGTGTTTAGAGTGATCTCTTGTGTTTTGTTTTGACTGCCATTGTATTTGGTTGAGACTGATTTCTGTCAAACCTTCTTTTCGACTGGGGATTATAGGAGAACAAAACTGACAAACTTATTTCTGCTGATAAAAGTAGACAGTCCAATCTTTCAGAATCTGGTTTCATATTTCACATAGTCATAGCACAAAATCATCAAAAACGGCTGGCAGTCAATGAGTTAAATGTGGGGTACCAAACTCTCAGAAATACAATAGATTTAACTATGTGATCAATCCCTCTAATTAGTTCCTCCCTCCAAAATACTGGTTCCATCATTAGTTTTCATGTATGTTTGGCCTCCATAACGTCACAATTCAACCCAAAGTGTTAAATTGTGACTAATGTGGCTCTTTTTTAAGTAAACACAAGAGAAAGATGAAAACAGCATGTTGTGATCTGATTTGTTCGCAACATTTGACTTTCCCAAGACCCTTTTATGAAACAACCCCAGTTTTAAGTCAGCTTGAATCCTCGTGCCTCCTGTTATTTCAGATCATGATTCTGTCTCTTTTTATCAGGGAACATTTGGTCGAGAGCCTCAAGCCAAACCTGAAGACGATCGGTATCTGAGAGCAGCCATCCAGGAGTACGATAACATCGCCAAACTGGGACACCTGATGCGGGACGGGCCCATCAAGGTGAGGGCAACATCTCACTTCTGTCAGAAATGAAATGGATTATTGATGATTCAGTATTTTACAAAAGTGAGAATTAGTCGTATATCATATGTCATATAGAGCAGTTAAATGAAGTTAGATTTGTGTTGTCGCCTAATATGTAAAAGGGCAAAAAATAGTCTTTCTTAGTTGGCAATAATTTTACTGTAATCTGTCATACCATATTCTCATTGGTATAAAACTCATCAGAATTATTTTTGGAATTATATACATACATTGATGTAAAGTGACATTACTTGTGTTTCTCTTATAGAACATGTTAAGTCACTGCAAAACATTAATTTAAGTAAGAACGTTGGAGAAGAACAAGAAGGTTTTATTTTTTATACATATATCACATTTTATACAGAAAACTGCATTTCAATGTACTACAAGGAGTCATAACTGTAACAAGGCAAGGAAAATTTATATGTATAGCACAATTCCTAGAGTGCATTGAAATCATACTAGTAAAATTGTAAAGGATCACACAACATAGATTTAAAGAAGATAATGATACAATATAATGATCAAAGACAGGTGTAATGTGAAACCTTGTTCTCCAGTCCCGTTTATCACATGTCATTGACCCTCCCTGCTGTCCCCCTCCTCCTCCTGTCAGGGCTCGTTGCTGAAGGTGGTTCTGGACGACTACCTGAGGCTAAAAAAGCTCTTTGCAGCTCGCCTGGTCACCACATACACAGAGCAGGAGAGCGCGTCTGTCACAGAGGTGGGACTGAGTGAGGCTGCTGCTGACACTGCCCTCTGCTGGACACTCTGAGCCGCTTCCTCTCTGACTCTGTCCCATCCATAGACTGTATGATGCTGACATGACGCAGTCTCTGGTCCATTCTGATCTCCAGTGCTTTCTGCTGCTGACACTGCACCTGCCCTCTCACTATGTTTCCTCCTGTGTTCATTCATTAATGCGTGACCACTTCTGTTTTAGAGCGTCAACATTTCTCTATATTTATCTTAACTTTGTTTTGTGTTCAATTTGGGTTCATATAATATCTGTATGAATTCAGATCCTTGCACTACAATGCCTGTTCATTTGCAAACTTCAATATTGATGAAAGATTTCTGGTTTTGGTAAATCTCACTTGCAGCTGAACATTTCTTACAGAAACTATTTTAACTGAGAGACTAACTAGAGAATATCAGCCCTATTCAACTTGCGGCCTGCAGTCCAAATCTGGTCCGCCAAACAATCTGATCCGGCCCACTGTCCTTATTCCAAATAAGGGTTTAGTAATGATTTATGTGAGGTTGGCCCTGGTCCAGTCCTACAGGCTCAGATTTGGCACATCAACAAGACTTGTACATACAAATATTCACACATGAAGTCATTATTGAATGTGTTGTATAGAAGTTGGGGCAAGAAGTACAATTATTCAGAGATCAAAAGGCCAACAAAAATCCAGCCCTCAAGAAAATACATTTGAAGAGGGGGAGGTGTTATTGGCAGATACAACCAAAAGAAGACCCCAGGGAAGACCCAGGGCACACTGGAGGGACTTGGCCGAGCTGACCTGGGACCAACTCTGGATGAGTGCAGAGAAGGGAAGTCTGGGTGTCTCTGCAGAAAGAAAATGGAGGGAAACTAAAATGATTGATTGATTGATTGATTGATTGATTGATTGATTGAAAAAACTCAATTCATGATCATTGACCAAACCGTTTTATCAACTCATTTCTCCTTCTAAATTTTCCAGCCTGAATGTCAACAATTCCCTTTAATAGATCCTGAACACATGGCTCAGTTACAGATATGATTTGTTGTTTGCCTTCACAGCTGATCCAGAGCGACCTGGAAGACGACGATGACGAGCGGCTGGGCATGGGCGGAGGACGCGGCACTTTGCAGTTCAAGCACAAACTCCCCTTCGAGCTGAAGGGTCCGGAGGGCGTGCACGTGGTCCACGGCAGCACTGGGACACTCCTCTCCTCGGACATCAACAGCCTGCCCGAAGACGACCAGAGGGCTTTGGCACGCTCCCTCGAGGCTCTTAACTCGGACGGCGGGCTGTATTCGGAAAGAAACGCTCGCACCGAATCGGCAAAATCTACCCCCATGCACCGCCACAAAGACGGGGACACACACACGCTGTCGGATAGCCCGCTGGAGATCACAGAGTTATGACTAGCCGAGGCCTCGCTGGTTTGAGCTGACATAACCTGCTTGTGTTTTCCCATGCGCCCCTGGTTTGCAAATGGGGTCCTGGGACGCCTGCAGGGGAGTGTGTGTAGTCTAGGGACTGCCTTTCGCCAGCCAGACTCGGAGCAAAGAGGTGGGCTGACGAAGCACTCCATCAAATGGTCCAACTTTGGATTTTTTTTGCTTTTCGTGAGTTTGAATTTTGAAAGAAAATATCAGATGGTGCACAGTATAAGTTAACCAGCAGATGTCATGCAGATATAAAGAAAGAGCTGGAGGTTCGGACAAAGCAGTTTTATTTTTTGTATGCCGCAAAAATATTAGCTTTTTTTTTAATCATCAAGAGGTGCCTCATTCTCATCAGTCAAGTCACGAACCTGGACTGCATACACTCAAAGCACACTCTCGATGATTAAGACCAGCGAATGGCCATCAATGGGACATACAAGAATAAAACTAAAATAGGATCAACTTTTTTGATGCACTCGATGTGGATGAGGCTTTTGGAGAAAAAGAAAAAGAGAATAAATAACCATGTATAGACGGGACATGTTGAGAATGACATTTTAGCCAAGAAAATTTACATTATGCCAGACTGCTGGATGGTTTTACACTAAATATGTATTGCTGGTTTATTACTTGAAAGAGACTCATCAGAAAGATTTAGCTTCAGTCGATCTATCTCTACAAACCTATAAAAAATATTGTTCATGAATAACTGATAGACCAAGACTTGAATCTTTATATTGCTGTTGAAAACCCAGCGTAAATACTTAATAGATGGAATAAAAATAATAAATGGTCTTTTTTATAGACTTGAAGATGGCAATGGTGCCCAGAGACATTTCACTGCCACCAGACGGAGTAAAACATTAAATGCTCAAAATGGGCAATGGTTGCTTTATTTTTTTATTTTATAGAAAAAATGAAAACGTTATGGACTAAAGATATTTTTGAAGATTAATGCTGGCTTACCAAATAGGTAGGAAATAATACTTTGGATGTCAGAAGAGTGTCCGTGCATTGTGCTCTGATGAATGTCTTTTTGTTTAAATGACGGCTGATCCTGTTTTTGAAAAGAGTGGTGTGTTTTTACATTATTTTTTACCTCCACTTTGTAAGTTGTCATTATTGTCACCAGCCCTGAGATCTATGTTGGGAAATGTTACTGAATGATCTATGGTAATAAAAGGGTTACACAATGTTTTTGAAGTAGTATCTTCCTCCTGCTCATATGTGGAACGCTGCCATCTAGTGGAATGTGCATTTTCATTCAAGACTCGCAGTTATCTCTCAATCATTTTATTGTTGTTGATGTAACATAGAAAAATCGTTTTCCAAACTCTGGTCAGACTCCGCGGGCTGCACTGCTGCTGGATGACGTGGTTCCAGTGGGCATCTTCTTCAGCGTCCTGTTGAGCTGCATCAGCCAAACAAACATGTTAGGACAGCTGCACAACACAACTGCAGTATTGGTAGTAACAACAACGTACTTCCTCAAATTTATGGATCTGTCTGATGAAAAAGTCTCCGTAACGACGAGCCACTTTTGTATCAGCAATGTGGATCATATCCTGTTTGAATACAACAAAGTTGTAAATATGTGTAGTATGTATAGTATATTTTAGCCGTTATAAGCAGTTATTTACTTTGTCGATGTAGAAGTCCACTTCAGAGGCAGACTGGAACTCTCCGTCCAGAGCAGAGATGCCGCTGGTCCAAACCAGATTCTTCATCTTGTGTTTGAAAACCAGGAGCTGGATACGGAACTCCTGTTCAGTCATGTCCAGAAAGCCGGCCAGTTTGGCCACAGGCATCGTGGTGTACAGCTTCAGGAAACTAGAGACACATTTATGATTTAACATGTTCAGATATCATTCAAAAGTACGTATAGTAGCTTTAAAACATTCACTTTACCTGCGGATGGTGGAGAGCTGAGCCTGCTGCTTCACCTCCTCAGTGAACACCTTCTCCTGCTGACTGAAGGGCTCCCTGTGGTAGTTTTGATCAACATTATCATAGTTTGGCACCACAGGAGACAGGAACTTTGGACAAGCAAAGCTGAACAACTCTTGAAACACCTGCAAGTCTCTGTAGATAAACAATCAAATATAAAAATATATTCAATTTCTACATGGATTAAAATGACAAGTGATCTGAATTACCCTTTCTGCATACGCAGCATCTTGTCTCCATACTTCTCCCTCAGCTGAGTGTGGATGCTCTCGTCAATGCGCATTGGATACATAGTGAGGGCGATGGCCAGAAGCCCGTGCATCTGCTCATTCTGCTTGTTAATCTGTGGGAAATTATACATTGTTCCCATTAGTTTGTTATGAACCATATCATTCTATGCAACACAAAGTTATAACACTGACCATCTCATATTTGTATGTCGACCTCTGGAACATGTTTCTTGTCCTTTGGATGTAGAGGAGAATGTTGGCAAAGACTCTGATGGCGTCCTGGTAGCGCCTCATCATCAGGTAAGCAAAGCCCACATAGTAGTAGGTGGTAATCTGGCACTCAGGCACACGAGAGTACATGCTCTAAACGACAAACACCACAGCAGTTCAGTGTGAGCCAATACAAAGAAACAGTCAAAAAATATGGATTATTACCTTTTTATTGAGCTCAATATTTTCCAAGACTTTGATGGCCTGATAATAATCACCGAGAAGAGAGTGAAGCCTGAGAAGCCCCACCAAACTGAAGTATCCCAACATCTTGTAGAGAGAGTGGCGTCCGTACTCCCCAGCCACACTCTCCGGGTCACCTGGAGCACATGTTGAACCATTATCACTAATCGTATTAAGGACGAGCTGGATGTTTTCACGATTGATATACCTCCGCTCGTGTAGACCTCGAGCTGGCGGTTTATGTTGCTTTTATCAACAAGTGAGTGCAGGACATTGAGGACGCTGTGCACGTTCCAGATCTTTGGGTTGCTCCTCAGAAACTCAATCTCCTCCTCAGACTTCTTTGCAGTCTTGCAGCGGTATTGACTAAAGGATTGGAACTGAAGGGCAAGAAAATTAAGTGCTTTCATTAATATTGAAACACCCTCAACACATATAGACACAAGTAATGATTGACTTGTTTAACCCCAGATGAAAATCATATTACCTGGTAGATGAACTCGTCAATGATGTCCCACAGCCACTGGTTTGGAAGTTCCAGGGGGGCAGGGCCATCAGCATCTGTCAACGTACATATATGCATTTCAAATTAGACAAACATGTGGCCAATGGATTATTTTAAAAGGGATTGCTGCTGGTGCATGATACGTAGCAATTAGGACATTTATTGAGGTTATTACAAAATTGTATATGCATAGCGTTTGTTTACATCTGCTCTTTTGAGTCTGATTGAATATAGGTAACAAAATTAGTAGTTAAGAGAACGATGCCTCGATAAACAGAACTGAAGCAAAAGGTAAAAGGCGGCTGAGTTTAGTAGACTAATTTACAGATAGTTAGTGTATTGCCAATTGCTTTTGGGATCATTGTTTGGAAGGATGTGGATGTTTTCCTTAGAAAATGAGCTTTAAAATAATGTATAACAAGCCATAATAGTAGAGATGTAATAAAGGAACGCATCTGTCACAAACGTTAAATATTGGCTCGATACACCGGCCAGTCTCAAATTAAAATAAGAAAATAGCAATTTCAGAAATGGAGGCAAAAACTTACTGAGAATGTAGTTGAAAAGGTTGCAATAGTTGTAGTAGGATTCAAATCTCTGGTCTAAAGTTGGTCCACCCTAAAACACAAAGCGGCACAGTAAAAAAAAAAAGAAATCTGTACGGCTGAGCAAAGATGACAGATAAGACGTTACTTACGCTGACTTTAGCATAGATGTGTCTGTAGTACAATTCTTTGTAAAGGATGAGGAATACAGCATCTAAAAAGAGGATTACACTTTTTATTAATTGTTCCACACAAAAACTACTCATTAAATGTACTCATACTGTTTATATGAACTCACCATTGCCAACCAGAGAAGCAATACCCTCTGCCTCAGGCCAAGGGGAAGTCTTGAAGAAACGATCAGTCAACTTATTCCAGCTAAAACATAATAAACAAATGAGTCAAAACATAAAAACACAGATTCTGTTGAAATTCCGAGCAGATGGTGCACCTGTTCTCATAGACATCCTGAATCTCATAGATCTTTTGCTCGATGCTTTCACTGGAAACTCTGTTCGACTGCAGTTCATAAACCTTTTGATCGATCAGGTCAGAAATGGTTTTATGGAAATACTGCAGGAAGTTTTTGATCACTTCAGGAATAACTTGGTAGGTTTGCTGCTCATACTGCCTCTCGTAGGCCAGGTCAGCTTTGGGATCACCTGAAACAATTATTAAAACATAAACAATACACACATACCATAATGTTGTAACTGTATGTACACTAAAGTAAAACAAACCGGTATGGAGGTCGAAGTCGTTGGGATAGGCGTAGGGATCATACTGTTGTGGTAAGAAACATATGTCACTCATTGTGCTCTCATTCATTGACACAACAGCTATTGACAGAATGCATCTGCTTTGTGAGGTCTAACAATAACTGCTGGGGCTGATTTTGTCTATAACTTTTCAAATTGTGATTCTATTGACAAACATTGCAATTCGATTTACCAGTGGTTTGCCTTTGCGAATTAAACCACCAATTATGTTACAAATTGCCTTGAAAAAGACAAATATTCTATCCACAAATCCCAATATACGACAGTAGATTGAACTTAACTAACTACGTAGGTACGTCATCATCAACAGCTTTAAAACGATGTAATAAACAGACGACCGTATGGAGCAGTGGTATTCTAACATGTATTGTGCTAACAGTGGATGCTAGCTGCCGCAGCGGCTCCAGAACATTTTACACCGGGTTAAAGCAGTAAATACATACGCTCGCCGCAGTAGTCGTGGCCACCTCCTCTTCCTCCTGATATGACATTATGTATAAAAATATCCAAGAAAAAGCGCAGAGAAGTGAAAATTTGCTGAGCAGCTAATGCCGCTAAACCACGCAGCTCCGGCCCTGGACGAGAGAGGAAGCGGAAGGAACAACGTGAGCTCTGCGCATGCGTACGGCGCATACGTTTTTTTAGTTTATAAAGTCTATGGTTTTATCAAGTCAATTTAATTTGTTGCAATAATCTTAAAATATATATTGTACTGTAAATGTATTGTACATGCACTTTTTCCATATTATTAAAAAAATAAACAAATAAAATAAATATTGGCGTGAAGGCCAACACCGCAATGCATTATGGGAAACGTAGTATAATCAAGTATTCAACAAAACCCCTTTCTGTGGTTCAAAACTGTTCTTTTATGAGACGGGCAACCCAACCCTAACCCTAGCCAGTCTATGAATAACTCCAGGTTTGGTTCATTGATATTTTGAGATGCGTATTATGCCAACTCAGGAAACAGGAGAGGACAGCGAAGGATATTGATGTTGCTTAATCCGAACAAAACCAAACGCAACCAAAGTCACATGGTATGTGAATGTGCACATTATGCATTCGCGTACAAGTTCACATAACCCTCACTTTTTCTTTGAAATAGTACTAATTGGCATTTTTGTTCTGGTAGTTACGCAAAGGCGCCGTTTGAGGGCGACAGAGTCTCTTTATCGTTTAGTCAAGCACATGTATGATGTTCTTATTTCATCCCCAAACACAAGTCTCACACTATTTTATTTGGTGTTTGGGTTTTGTATTGAATTACTTCATAGAATTGTCTATAAATACCAAATTTGAACATTTTAAATTAACACATAGATAAACACTAATAATAATAATGATGATAATAATTAGACAATGTTACTAAGAATTATATTCATCAAACGGTATTTAAGACTTTATTTCCCAAATTGAGGTTATGAGTTCTTAAATGCATTAAATTTGGGTTTTCTTAAGTGTTTGTTTCTGTTGGAACTTGTTTGTCAAATTCTCAGGGGGTTTGTCCCAACAGAAAGTCTCGCTGAATTAATTCTCAATTAACAAGTCAGGGTGTCATGATGGTTATATGTTAATAGAAAACATGTTTATTATATATTTATAAAATAGAGCCATCTCAGTCACTATTTGACGTTTTGGGCTGAGCGTTGATTGGCTGAGTGAGGGTGGTCCTCTCTTTTACACTTGACAGAGTGAAAAAGTACATGCATGTGAACAATTTTGAGAGCAATTGACTAATTTCACAGATGGCATCAGTTGAGTGTTCTGTGGTTTGAAAGTGAGGTACCTCAGCTTTAAATGCACACATATAGTTTTGATTGTGAATGTTCAGCCATGTGCTCCATGTGAAAACTCCCCTGCAGACTGCCCTATCCCTCCTCTGTCTGCCAGCGCAGCCTCATCACAGAGGCTCCTGAGAAGGGATCACTTGTTGTGGTTTGGGAGGCACGGAAAAAAGAGGTGAAAGAATAGAATACCTGACGTGTTTGGCTCAGCTACCAGCAGCAGCAGGAGCCACCTACCTCCCCACCTACAGACTGGAAACTGCCTGCATCCGATAAGAGATCTGTGTTCAGAATACAAGTGAGGAGGGTGTGGAGAGAGCTGGAGCGCGAGAAGACACATCGAGAGAGGGGAAAAGGTCAGGGACACAGGGGGTTTATCGCGCTGCCAGAAATAAGGAGGGTGTCTACAAAACGCGCTGGCAGTCCAAACCGCGCACTGAGACTGAATCAACCAACCAACCACACTCATCCACCATAACGCCGAATTCTGTGGACTACTGTGGATTTTACACTACTGAATAGATACACTTTTAGGCTCTCTGGACTGAGGACTGACACGTTTGGCCCGTGCGTAATTTGGAGAGCGTAAACTTTGCCACACTTCATCAGGATGCGCGTCTGTCCTCTGCTTGTCTTGTTCTGTTTGGTGCGCGCTGGAAGCTCTCAGAAGTTCTCAGCTCTCACGGTAAGAATTGCATATAACTCTTAAGACAATGAATGATGAAATGTGTGATTTGGAGTAGTTAAAGCTTGTGCGTAAAGTCTTGGATGACATCGCACCGAAATCGAAACAGGATGACTAATATTCCTGTGCGTAGTCTACACACAAAATCTACACGTTGTATTGGTTCAAACGCAACTTAAGATAGTATTTAAAAGTGAAAGCAATTAGTGTTGTATATTTTCCTGTCTGTCATTTCATCAATTCAACTTCTGCAACCTGTTACCGCATTCCTCGCATGATATTGTTTAATGATAGCCATAGGTGGAGACTTGTCACTATACAGGCTGCGCAGATAAATTGGGGCAGATTACAACCATAACTCCACGCTCATAATCACGTGCGGGTAGCAGTGTTAGAAGAAAAGGAATGTGGTGCACTGTCACTGGCTTCCCCTTATGATTTAGAAGCGCCACTCTTTGCACTGTTATTTATGGGTGCGAATGAAAATGCCTTAATATCCAATTGGAAACAAATGGCCAAAGTTAACCCGCAGGTGAGGGGTCGGAGAGGCTCGCTCCTGACAGCGCTGTGCACTTTAGGAATGTGGGTGGAAGACGTATTTTTGCGCCATGAATTTTATATCAAGGATGTAGACGGAGGGAAGCGGTTTATATCGGTGTCAAAAGTCCCCACATCCATTTTAATGTAGAGGCTTGGCTATCAAACAACACGCTATATAATGTCCTTTTTATTGCCACTTCTACTACAAGGCAATCTATCTGATTTCTATTGCTGTTGTTTGATTGACACAGGGGAGGTTATTGCTGGCTCTATGTTATATTTGGTGCATATTTGAGGTCGAACAAGTAGTTAAATCTACGGGACATTAGCCCAGGTTATTCATGAGACTGAGTTTTTCCACAGTTTGTGGAAATATGAAATCATGTCAGTGAAAGAAGTGCTTTGGCCGCTGCTGTCCCAACCTGTTAAAAGCCATTTTGTCTCTCTCTCTTCTCATTTGGACAATGGACAATGTTTAGGTTATGCAGCTATTTCAGTCATGTCTTAAATGCCCTGCAAATAACAGGCATACAAAAATATATTAGATGATGTAGTATTTAAAATAAGCATCATCAATTTTATCAAGATCCATCAAGATCAGTAATTTTGATCATAATCTATATTACACTATTCCAAAGAACTTGCATCATGCTGTGGCCACAACAAATAACAAAGTCTATTTTGTCAATTTCATTGCTCGATTATAGGTGTTTTGACACTAGTATAGAATTGTATCAGTATTAAATCCAGGTAAAGCTGAACAGATTTCCGGATTTTTGGAGTCAGAGCAGAAAACCACCACTCAGAACATCCCTTTAAGTTGTGACGTAACGTATTGTTAAAAAAAGAAAAAGAAAATCCAAGTTGTTTGTCCCGACAGAAAGAGTCTTATTAAAGTAAAATATTGAGTCCAAATCAGACCACAATGTCTTCATCTGTTCATAGAAAACATGATATCTTTTGCACTTGTGAGAAAGACCCACAACTTCATATTTTGGGCTGAGAGCTGATTGACTCTTCCGTGGTCTTCTCTTTTTTCACTTTTCTATCTGAAAAACTGATATATAAGTGATAGAGGCCAAAAATGCACGCATGTGAAAATTTGTGATCAAACCAAACAGTTTTGGAGCAAGAAGCTTCGATGGATTGTGTTTATATGAGTAAACCAATTCTTTCAGATTGAGTCCGTGGCCTTGTTACACCTTGTCACTTTCTTCTGCTTTGCACCATGCTGAAACTAATGATCCCCTTTTGCATCCTTGTATCCTAAGTAGGAAACTCCCGCCAAGGCCATTTACCACTCGCTCAGCTGGGGCTCTATATTGACCCTCTCTTGCTGCTGGAAACAGGGGCCCTCTGTTCCCAATAGACCCTTATCGTTGCTTCAATATGCTCTCTGCTGGAGTCTTTCCTTCTCTGTACACAATTCAAAACCACAATCCTACAGCACCAGAGGGAGGTAATAGGATTTGATTTGTATGGCTGCTTGGTTTTGGAAAGAAAAGAAGAAAAAAGAAGAGAATTTCCCGTACGCTCTATAGTCTTGCCCATTCATCAATTATTCCTTTTCCCAACCTCTTGTATTATATTAGCATCTGCAAACATAGCACAAAAAAGCAATTGAATGAGAATGAATCGGAGAGGGAGGAAGCGGCGGGATTTGGGCTTATACATAGATGGATTTTTGAATATGTGTTGGGTCTTGTAGGACTTGTCTTTTATGATGAATCAGGGTGGAAGCTGCCGTGTGTGGAGCTGAACAGGCCCATCCATCATTTGGGACGCTGGTGTGGGGCAGTGTTGATGGGACAGAGGGAGGAATGAGACGTCAGGGGAGTGTCAGGGCTCAGGCATCCATCAGCGCGGGGCAAAGGCACATCTGCAGACCACGACCACTCCGTCCGGAACATGCACGTCTCTGTTGAATCCAGACAGAACAGACTGGGAAGTAACGGAGAGGAGGGAATATCCACCAAGTTCAATGTCGCCCAAGAAAACAGAATATGCTTATGTTAATCGTGCAGGACATCTCCATCTTTCCTCAAGCTGTTTGAGCAGAGTATATTTTATGATCTTGCATTTGTTTTGTATTTAATTTGTTTTTGTGGATTGGATTTACTGTCAAAATTGTGTCTGATTTAAGCTTTTTTGATTGATGTACTTCTCTGGTGTACACTGGGGACTTTTGCACATGTATTCCAATGTGGTTTTACTGCAAATGGAAAATAATCTGAATCTGATTTAATCCTACGCACCAAATTAGAATAGTCGTAAAAAATCACATTGGGTGCAACTGTTCTGTGTAGTTATTTCATGAATACATGGTGTTTGTCCCAGCAGAAAGATTCAGTGAAAGTGACATTTTGTGAACAATTTCAACCATAAGTTGCTGATCTAAACGTGACATAGTGAAAATTAGTGATGGAGGTAGAAACAAGTTAGATGGATTTTATGAGATATGGTTAGATTTAGTTAAGGTTTGAAAGTTAGGTAATCTCTATCTGATAATTCTAATAGTTGTGAGAAATTCTCTGTTCCAACATTCAAATCACAAATCCATGCAACTAGATAACTATCAAAACAGCTTGGCTCAGTTTTAACATCCACATAATTTGTCCTTTGTCACATCTTTAATTCAATTCAATTCATTTTTTTTGTATAGTCCTAAATCACAAAAGTAGTCATCTCTGAGGTCTTTACAAAGTCATCGATTCACCAACACAGATTTGAGAATCAAACAGTTCAAAGTAACAAGGGTCCATAAATGTCCATAAATGTTGTTGAATGTGGAGTGTCCTGGATCATCACCGCTGTCCTTAGACTGCATCTGCAAGGAACTAACCCTAACTGCTTTTTCAGGCTGATAAATAGAGGACCACCCTCACTCAGCCAATCAGCTCTCAGCTCTCAGCCCAAAGCATTAAACAGTACCTCGAATGGCTCTTTCTCACAAGTTTGGTAAATCCTTCCTGTCCGGACAAACAAAATATACTCTTTATGTCATTGTTTGGGTTTATTTTTCTGTTATATTTTGTAATTTGTCAACCCCCCTTGTATTTCCTGTGTCCTGATGACCTGCCCTGCCCCGCCCTCTCACCGTCTTTCCCCTGTGTCACTTTGGTCTTGTATTTAAGCCTTGTGTGTTCCTTCGCTCCCTGTTCCACGTCTGTTTAAATTCTTGTCCTCGTTCCCTGTTTGGTTTCTTTGCTGGATTTGCATGACATTTTAATAAATCCGTAATTGAGCAGTTCTGCGTTTTTAGGTCCTCAACATGACATTTGAAGGAGCAGTATGTAAAAATGTGGCCAAAAGTGGTACTGCAACCTCTCCCTCTCTCCCTGACTCAGGTTGATTTATGATTTATCAATTTCTTTTGACAGATTTGGGCCATTTAATGATTGCTTGACAAAAAAATCTCACATTTTGCTACTTTAAGTCACGTCTGTTCCTTCACTCCCTGTTCCACGTCCGTTTCAGTTCTTGTCCTCGTTCCCTGTTTGGTTACTTTGCTGGAAATTGATATGTATGACTTTTTTATAAATCCGTTATTTTGCAGTTCTGTGTTCTTGGGTCCTCAACATGATACTTTATGACAAAATAAAGTTCTGTGCCCCAGCTTTAAGATCCTTATTCCATTTGGTTCCTTTCTGGAGCAGCTCTTGGCAGTGCGAGCGGCTGTCAGCGCACATGACGCAGGACGCTGAGTTATTCAATGACTCAGTTTGTGCTGTCATCGGGCTGGCAGGCTGCAGATCGCACAGATAGTCTCAGTCCCGGGACAATTGTGAGATTTGGGTGGTCAGTGCAATCGTGTGTCCCAGCTCGGATTGGCGCTGCGGTAGAATCATCTCGCCACACCAGCTGAACTTCATGTGGCAAAGCGAGCGGAGAGAGGAGGGTGCGGGGAGGTCAGCGCTAACAGGAGGCTGAGGCAGATCCACGGGGGACTGTCACTCAGAGCCACTGGGCCAGACAATATAAGAGCTCTGCCGTGGGACCAGGAGGGGCACTTGACCCTGGTTCACAGACTGTTTTACACCATTACAAAGGCTTCCCTCACGGTGCTCTTAGTAATGCTTATTCAGAGCTTTCCCTCCCATGTGCAGGTGCAGGCAGATTTAGAAGACATGTTTTACCTGACTCGACTTGAAATACCAAATCTTTCTTTCTTCTGGCAATATTCATATAAACCGATGTCACTAGAGTCAAGGCCTATCACCCTTAAGTTTGAACACTATGCTTTATATTTGGCCTCTCTTATTACAAAAAATGTGTTGACTCCTGAATTTATTTGGCCATACTCACTGATTAAAACTTGTGCACATAATAAACACATTTTAATGGCAGACTTTAGACTTTAGAGCAGCACAGCTGCTGTGACTGCGGTGGTTCTGTGACAGAGCTTACACTTCACAGTTCAGATCACAGTTTGGTGGAGTTTGCTTGTTTCTCCTACACACGTGTCCAGGTGGATCTCCTCTACTTTCTCCATCTCCCAAAACATGCAGCCCACCTCCCAGCTGCATCAGTGACTACAGCAGAAGTGACGACACTGTTCTGTGACGATAATGATCTAATCATTCATAATAATGAATTCATGAACCTCTTAAGATTCAGAGTTTATGTAAATAATGAAATTATTTGATTTCTGATTCATTTATATGATTTCAAAGGCCAAAACTACAGACCCACAGTTTTCCAAATTTTCAATCAAATCAAATGTTATTTGAAAAGCACTTTTCAAAAACACAAATTGCTTTACAGTAGATTACAAAACAATGCCCATCGACCTGTTCTATTGTACTTTAACTTAAAGGTGCATTGTACAATTTCTGCTGTGGTCCAACTCCTGCCTATCACCATAGCGATGCTATTGGGTGCATTGTACGATATTCCAGGTGTTTTTACTGAGTGTCAAAAAACTGTGGTGCATCTGAGTTTGTTTTATCCCGCTTTGAGACATGTCTCATTTCTAAATGAATTAATAATCAGTTGTTCCTAAACAGAAGGGAGAGCAGATGTAGATGCAACAGCAACACAAA